ACCCCCCTTCAAGCGCAGAGGTGGTGGCCCAACACGAAGCTTGTCTCTGAATGATTCAAATAAAGGACGTGGAAGACTTTTGGTGAAGATGTCAGCAAGTTGTAAGGAAGTAAGAACAAAACGGGTGTACAGTTGTCCAGAAGCCACTAATTCACGAACAAAATGGTTGCTCTGATAATACAAGATAGTTGTTGATTTATGTTATCTCCTATTTGAGACCGTATAGTGCTTTCTTCAGTCGGCAAACATGATTAGGAAAACGTGGATCAACAAAACTTGGAGGTTGTTCCATAAAGATTGTATCAGTTGGTTGTCCATTTAGGAAGGCATTATTTACATCTAATTGGTGTAAAGGCCATTTGTGCATCACAGCTAAAGATAGAACTATACGAACAGTAACAGCTTTGACTACAGGGCTGAAAGTGTGAGTGTAGTCAATCCCAGGGAGTTGATTGAAACATTGTGCGACCAAGCGAGCTTTGAGACGTTGTATTGTTCCGTCTGAGTTGTATTTTGTGCGATAAACCCATTTAGAGCCAACAATATTTGAGATACTTGGGCGAGGGACCAAGTCCCAAGTATTATTGGAGCGTAAGGCATTCATTTCGTCTTCCATGGCAGATAACCAAGCGGGATTCTTTGCAGCAGATTTAAACCCACGTGGTTCTTTAGTAGCAAATAAAGCTTGATGCAATGGAGATTTATCGAGATAAGCTAGATCAACCAGATGTCTTGGTTTAAAAATTTCTGCTTTGGATCGGGTGATCATAGGATGAACCGATGAAGAAGACTGAGTTGATGCACCCGTGAATGTAGGTGAAGAAGGAGAAACCGGAGACTGCAAAGCTGTTGATGAAGGCTGTGTAACAACATCTGCTGTTGGCGAGGGTTGTTCAACAGCATTTGTTGAAAATGATTGATCAATATCAATCGATGGCGATGGTTGAACATCAGGAACAATAATGGAAATTTCAGGTGTGTGACATAAAGAACACGGAGAGACAGTTGCTGATGTGGAAGAAGTGGATGAGGCATTTGATGGTTGGTGTGGAAGAGATAAGAATGCTAAGTCTTCAAATTTTGAAAAAAACCAATGTTGCTTGATCAGATTTAGATGTGATGTCACTGAAAGGAAAACTTTGTTCATCAAAAACAGCATGACGAGTGGTGTAAATGCGATTTGATGATGTGTCTAAGCAATGATATCCCTTGTACTGAGAACTATATCCGATGAAAACGCAGGAGATGCTTCGAGGTGCCAACTTGTTTGTAGAGTAGTTGCGTAAGTAAGGGAAAACTCGACACCCAAATGCCTTGAAAACATTGTAATTTGGTGTGGAATGATAAAGCAGCTCAAATGGACTCTTGTAATCAAGAATTTTGGAAGGAAGACGGTTGATGATGTAGGTTGCTGAGCTAAAGGCATCTACCCAGAGAGAAGCCGGTGCACTTGCATTAAAAAGCATAGCAAGACCTGTTTCAGTGATGTGTTTGTGTTTCCGTTCCGCCCTACCGTTTTGTTGCGGGGTGTGAGCACATGATAAACAATGATGCGTGTCATTTCTGGTTAAAAGAGTTCTAACATGTTGATTAACGAACTCGGTCCCCCATCACTTTGAAAGGTTTTCATCTTGCAAGAAAACTGTGTTTGAATAAATGCTAGAAAAGCATTAAGAACAATGATGAATTCGGACTTCAGCTTTAATGGATAAAACCATGTAAAGCTCGAAAAATCATCAATAAATATGCAATAATATCTGTATTCGTCTTTAGAAGGGACAGGTGCCGGTCCCCAAAGATCACAATGAATTAAGTCAAGGACATGTAAGGATCTTTTAGTATTAGGTTGAAAGGGCAATTTCTTGCTTTTAGATAGCTGACACGAAGAGCAAACATGTGGTTTTGGTAATAAAGAAGTAACAAATAAAACACCCATTTTATTCAATAGCTTTATAGTATCAAATGCAACATGCCCTAATCTATTGTGCCATAAATCATAAGATGCACGTAATGTAGAAGACTTTAAACTAGAAAGAAAAACTTGATGTCCTTGCTTAAGCATGTACAACCCGTTCTCACATTTGCCCCTTGCTAGGATTTCCTTTGTTGCTCGATTCTGAATGGCAAAGAATGCTTTAGAAAATAAAACATCAATGGGAGAATCATTAGTTAATTTACTAATAGAGAGTATATTTTTTTTGATATTAGGGACAACAAGAACATTTGAGAGTTTAAGATCTTTGGAAAAGGATTTATTACCAATATGTGAAATGGGAGAAGCATTACCATTTCCAAACACAACATGATCATGTTGGAGGAGGTGCAGATAAGGAACCATCAATATGGCCCGACAATTTTTGATAAGCAAGAAGGGTTTGGATCTGATTTCGCCAAAGCAAGTAATTTGTGGGAGAAAGCTTGACTGTAATCATGTGAAGGATAGTAGCAAGAGACAGAGGAGAGTCTGAAGAGGAAGAAGAAGAGCCACCGGTAGTCATGATGTAAGTGGGGAAGGAGAATCATAATCTTACTCTGATACCATGTAGAGATTTATAGAATTCACCTTAATGATATCGTGTATATCACATTCTTTATATAATACATAGATATACAATAAAATAACAAACTAATACTAAAATACAGGAGATAACATAAATCAACAACTATCATGTATTATCTCAATTATCTCTAATAAGATCGATAGAAGAAAAATACAAAGTGTTCACGTGTATTTTACCTTATTTTGAATTTAAAAAGACCAAGTAAAACACCTTCTTGAAACCATGAGTCTAGTATCACAATTTTCATGGATTGAAAGGAAGTGTGATTTGGTTTAGCATAATAACATAAGAAATTATTGTAACATAAGAAAGTTAGAAGCAAATATCTTATTAAAAACTAGCTTATCAAAAATTATTTAGTTAAGTCGATAGACATTTTCTTATCTAATCTCATCGAAACACTTAAAAGTGTTTTTTACAAACACCTTAAAGAATTAAATATTTCATTAACATTGTATTTTTTGTCAACTAAAAATCAAGAAACAAATGAAAAAAAGCAATACAAGGCTTATGAAATCGATAAGGCTTATTCTATATACCCCCCCCCCCCTCCAAATTGGTTGGTGTACTCCCATGTATCATTGGATGAGTGTGTGTTTGATTTTTTATATGAGTAAAGGAGTACATATAATAACACTCATTGAAAATTGTTATTTGTTTTGTGATTGTAGATTAGCACTTAGGCGTTGTTTGTTTTTTCTGAGACAAAATGGCTGCAGTCTGCGGACCACATCTGTAGACCTCTGCAGTAGAAGCGGTGGACCAAACGTCTGCGGTCTGAAAAAAGAAGACTGCTTGTTTTTTAATATCTGCATGCTACTAAAATAAACTAAAATCTAAATAAACTCATTTTTTAAACTTCAAAGTGATTTTTTAATATTTTTATGACTTTGTTATAAATAATTAAAAATCTAGATCAACTTTTATGTATTATTGTATAAAAAGTGAAAATAAAAACGGTACGAATTAACGTATATTTGATAAAAACCAACAATTTTGGTCGCAAAGTTATACAAAACATTGTAATTAGGAATCAAATAAATTGATATATAAATTGATGGAAATAAACTTCGATTTTTCAACTAAATCAATTAAAACGTACCATAAATATTTTCCCAAGAAATTGACGATACTGTATTAAATAATTTTTTATAAAATTTGGCACAAAAAATATAAGAATATATTATGATTTTTTTTCATATTTATATAAACAACTTTAACGACCGTTATTGTAATAAATGTTTATTTATAAATTTGTCAAAAATATCATGTTTGTATCGTCGAACTTTTTTTTAAAGTATTGTAACCTTTTTTTTTTCAAATTGTTTATCATTAATAAAGTTGGAATAAAATATAAATAAAAAAACAAAAAAAATTAAGATATATATGTTTTTTTAGGCTAGAAGATGTTAGAAGACTCTGATCCACATTTGCGTCAAGAAGAGGGCACGCAGACATTTTTAGGTCTGTAGTCTTCAAAAAAAAAACAGTCTGCGAAGGCTAATGTATGTGCGTGGTCTGAGCGGTGCATACAGAAAAGGCCAAGAATATCTGCAGACAAAAAAAACAAACACCTTATAATACATACCCATTAGTTACCAATAAAAATTGAAGAGCAAGGAGCACTTGCTACTTGCTTGTCCATCCTTACTTGGTGTTCTACGAGGTAGGTGTAACAAAAGCCCACTTGTGTAGAATTTGATACATTTAACTATATATATATATTTAATGATAAAACCTTTTTCAGTTGTATGGAAGCCATTTGAGGTTCTAAAGGGCGTAGATACTAGTTGAGCCATTTGGGGCTCTAAAGGGCATCACTTTAAAACCTTTTTCGGTTGTATGGAAGCCATTTGAGGTTCTAAAGGGCGTAGATGCTAGTTGAGCCATTTGGGGCTTTAAAGGGTGTAGATACAAGTTGCCTAATAGCCCCTTCAATGCATACATGATTATGTTTTATGATTATGTTTTGTGTATAAAGTAGTTTATTTTTTTTTTAATTATTGTAATTTGGTGTGACCAGGAGCATATATATATTTCATAGTAGCTTATAAGTTAGTTGTTTTGAATTTTTAATAAACTACTTGAGATTACTTATTGATGACTTAATTTATAAGCAAAAAACTAGCTTTTCAACTAACATGCCAGATATAACCTATGAGGTGGTCAACCGTGATGTTCAAATAGCAAGAAATATGACACTTATATTAAATTGAAACTTGAAACTAAGAACTCATTTATGAATTATTATCTATTAGTTTCAAATCCTAAAATAGATGTAAGAGTTGTCGGCTTTTTGAACAATCCATAAAAGATTAAGGGAGTGTTTGATAAATGTCTGACTGGGTCGAGTCAGCAAATTGGGCTGACTCGGTCAGACCTTAGGTGTTTGATTTGTGCCTTCTCGGTAAAATCAGCTGGCCCAAATTGTTTTCTTGCTCAGTTTTTTAACAATTGCTGACTGGAAATTAGACCATCTTGCCCCTGCGTCTTTATTCTTTCTTCCCCCATTCCCGTCCCTTCCCAGTGACCTAAAAGCACAGCAGCCGCCATACAGGAAGAACTCCACAGCGAGTGAACGCCAAACAGAGTCGGACCTCTGCCTCTCGCCGGACCTCCGCCACCGCCAGAGTACTCTTCAATCAGTGACGCCTTCTCGACTCCATCACACAGGTAAGATATTCTTCTAACTTTTCTGTTAATAATTTTCAAAATCAGATACCATTTATGCTTTGATGGTATGAAATTTGTAGTTCTTTATGAAATCAAATTACTATTTGTTAGAATATTATGAATTCTCAACCTGTATGTGAATTGGAAGTTTTTTTTTTCTTTTTTGTAGTTCTTTGTGTACAAGAACTGAAATTTGAAATTCTTTGTTCTAATATGATGAATTTCAAAATTGTATGTGAATTGGAAGTTTGTTTATGTTATGTTTTGTAGTTCTTTATGTATAAGAACTGAAAATTGAAGTTTTTTTTTCTAATGTTATTAATTCTGAAATTGAATGTGAATTGGAAGTTGTTTTTTTTTTTTTTTCTGAATTGGAAGTTTTTTTCTCCAATTCACATTGAAAGTCTTTTTCTCAATTCACATTTTATAGCTTATGAATTGAAATTGAAAGTGAATTGGAAGTTTTTTTTCTAAATTCTGATTTTATAGCTTATGAATTGAAATTGAATGTGAATTGGAAGTTGTTTTTTTTTTCTAATGTTATGAATTCAGAAATTATAAGCTATAAAATCAGAAATTGGGTTGTTCTTTTTTGTTTATAAGCTATAAAATCAGAAATTAGCTTGAATATTGATGTTTTATGAAATCTGAAATTGTTTGTGTATAAGTTATCAAATCATACTTTTTTTTAGTTTAATTATTTAAGTTTATGTTGATATTGTTGACCTTAATTGTTAGCTTGTTATCTTTTGTGAAATTGTTAGCTTGAATATTGACGTTTTATGAAATCTGAAATTGTTTGTGTATAAGTTATCAAATCATAATTTAGGATGATGCTAACTTCCTTGGTTGAAAATTGCTTTATGTTTAAAATTGTTCTTGATCTTGATAAAAACTATGATAAATTACTTTAAATATTAATGTTTTAGGATGTTGGTTTGGAACGAGAGTGAGGAAAAAACTTTTCTTGATGCATGTATCCATGAACTAACCACTAATGGTTGTGAGGGTTCTGGGCTTAAGGCAAGTTCATGGAAGACAATACGCGAAAAATTGATAAACGAACACGGTAAAGAGGTTGATCAGAAGCAAATGAGAAACCACGCTTATCATCATTGATAGAGAAAACATACAAGGCATAGAATGGGGTCCAGAAGCCGTTGAATATATGCGTGCTTTGCGTGATCAGATTGCAAATCAACTACTTTCACCTACTTCATGTTAAATTATTATGTTATTTTAAATTTCATTATGTTTTTATTTGGATATTAAATGATTTATGTTTAATTTACATTTTGTATGACATTTTTTATTTGTGTGTAATTTACATTTTGTATGACAATATGTATGTTTTTATAATTATTTAGCAACTTAATCCATCATTATATATAACAGAAGGGTAAAATGGTCATTTTTCATCACTCAGCACATTCAGTCAGATGTACAATCAAACAACAGGATTTCTTACTCAGTCAGGATTTCTTACCCAGACAGACCTTTCCCAGTCAACACTTTCTCAGTCAGCAACTATCAAACGGGGCCTAAGCCTTTGGCTTAAGCTTTTTTTAATTTATTAAATATAAATACCAGACAAATGCTTCATCAAATGATACAATTTTGTCTTCATCAATGCACCAATCCAAGCTCTTCCGAACTAAAATGAAAACTCACAATCAATTGTTGCAATACCATTACAAACATTGATAAGATATGGCCCATAAGGCTTTTCATCATATAAACTACAACATTAACAAAACATTAACAAGAAAAAAATTGAAAGTAAACCAAGTTAACATCAATAGAGAACACTTAGGTATTTTTCTTGTTAACCTAATGGACTTAATACATTGATGCAATATTTTTGGTTATGGGAGATGATGCTACAAGTGGAATAGGTTGGTTCCTATTAAAATTAATATTTTGGGTTGGAGAACTTATATGGATGGTTTGCCTACTAGATCTAATTTGGATAAAAGAAAATAATGGATTTGGATTTTATTCTTTATCCTATTTGTGAAAATCATGTGGGATCGGTTGACCAGTTATTCATGTCTTACTTTGTGGTTTATCCTATTTGAAGGAAAATTAGTCGTTAGTATGACATTGAGCTAATTTGCAACGATAGTGTCTAGATGTGGTTCTTTAACAACGAGCTTTCCACAATTCATGGTTTTTTAGATCAAAAGTTCTTAGGAAAGATGCAATGTTTGGACGTTATTTTGATTTTGATAAATTATTTAAGATAACTTATTGATAAACTACTTTATAAGCTAAAATTAGTTTTTCAACTAGCACGCCAAATAAAATGTATGAGGTGGTAAACCATAATGCTCATATAGCAAGAAATATGATATTTACATTGGCTTGAAACTTGAAACCAAGACCTCATTTATGAATTATTATCTATTAATTTCAACTCCTAAAATCAATTGGATGGAAGAGTTACATGCGTTTTCAACAATCCAGAAAAAATTAATCTTCTGGCTTAAGTTTTTTTATTGCTCCTAAAGTATTAAATAAAATATTGATCGACAGCTAGTGGACAATCCGATGCTCCATCAAATGATACAACTTTGTCTTCATCGATGCACCAATACAAGTTCTTCCCAAATGAAAATGAAAACTCACAATACCATTACAAACATTAATAAGAGATGGACCACAAGGCTTTTAATCATATAAACTACAGCATTAATAATAAAAAAGAATGAAAATAAGGGGGCTGATATTTAATTGTATCTCTAATTTTCTTTATTCCTTACCACGTCAATAACTAGAATGAAAAAGAAAAGGCAACGTCAACGCATCCGGGAAAAAAACGATTAATGTCTCGATATGAAAAGTTCTTAATGTTAATTGAGTGCACACTTCTTCAATAGATTAACTTGCAATAATATGTACGGCTTCTCCCAGTTCGACCAGGTCGTCATGACCTGGACTTTGGCCATAACATGTTTGACAAATCCAAGATGTACTCCTATAAGTAAAGGGGGTTCGAATATAGATTGGTTGTGATCTAAAAGTTATGAATCTACTGACAAGTCCAACCCCAATATATTGATTTCTAGTAGCAATACATCACGAACATATATATATATATATATATATATATATATATATATATATATATATATATATATAAATCATCAACTAACACATGACAAGTTAATGTTTGGATAAAAATCATGTCCGCCATCATTCCATTTCAAGGACTTACAAAAATACCTCGAACGGTGCCCTTTTACCTTGGAAAATCATACAATTACCTCATGGGAAGTTAGCCGTGCCCACGAATGATATAAATACTACTATTGTTTTGGCTTTACTCACATCAGTGACATAAATCTATGTGGATCTTAGCAAAAAATGATTAGGTTATTTCAATAAATATATTCAACCAACTCCAATTCTTTTACCTATTAACATCTTAGAAGATTTCACAAACCCCATATCACTTAGTTTTCGACTTTCCGAAAATATATTAGCCGATGAATTTATAGTTGTTGTTCTTGTTTCTTTAGTACCTTCAGTGATTCCTATCCCTATCATGTTCCTTGGATTATTACAAGTGGTATTCAAGCTTTTATTTTTGCAACATTAGCCGTGACTTATATTTGCGAATCCATGGAAGGCCACAATTGACTAGTTTTCTAAGAAATTAAAACAAGTTAACATCAATAGAGTAGACTTATATGTTGTTTCTTGTTAACCTAATGAACATACACGTTGATGCACTATCTTTGGTCATGGGAGATGGTGCTACATGTGTAATGTGGAATAGGTTAGTTCTCATTAAAATTAATATTTTGGGTTGGAGAACTTATATGGATAGGTTGTTTACTAGATTTCATTTGGATGAAAAAAAAAATAGTGGATCGAATTGTATTCTTTACTCTATTTGTGAAAATCACATGGGGTCGGCTCACCACTTTTTCACGTCGTGCTTCGTGGCTTATACCATTTGAAGGCAACTTGGTTGTTAGTTGGACATTGAGCTCATCCTATAGTGCAATGTCAAGATGTGGTTGTTTTAACAACTATAGGAACCCTAAAGATTTTCTGCAATTTGTGGCTTTTTAGATCAAAAGGTCTTGGGAAAGGTCCAATTTTTGGAAGTGATTTTGATTTTGATTTGTATGAGATAAGTGAGCCTATTGCAAAAATATAACATTTTCTTTACTTTCATAATTCCTTTTTTGGTTTTTATTGATAATTGTCCACAACCCTTTGCTTCTTCTAAAGATCAACCCCAAGTGATATGACTTGCAATGTATAATTAAAATAACCCTTTTCTTTCCTAACCATCTCTATTAAGTCGTTCTTTCTGCATCAAATCCAAAAAGAAACACAAATATATAACTAACCATGTCCTCATCAAACCCATTAAGTCAAAAAAAAAAAAAAAAAAAACAAACAAACATCACATTATTGTCGTTCCTATAAAATAACAATTCAAAACAAATTACATCATAGGCATGTCTAGAGCTCGTAAAACATCTTTAAACTCAAACTCACTTGTGTTTTTGTTAAAGCGTTCAACCAATTTGTACCTCATGTCATTTAAATAAAAAGATTGTGCAGTTTCCAAAAGCCATTTTGCCTCTGAATCGGTTAATTTGCTTGTAAAGACAACATCACCTCGAATAAGAACTAAATCCTTTGTTTCACAAAATTCTTTGTAATGAGAAATAGTGAAGTAAGGAGAGGCTTGAGTTCCTCTTGCTTTGTAATCTTCAAGTCCAGTAAAAAGAATATGTGGCATTTGTACTGTTTTACAAAATCATAATTATTAGAGATAAGACCAAAAAATAAATAACTTTTATAAAAAAAATATCAAACCTTGCATAAACATCGTTGTATAACCGCTTCCTTTCCACACTGGAATCACAAAATATCGGCTACAAATTACAAAACAAGTGTTTTTATCAGTTTGTGGATTCTAAACTTGAGTTAACAAAAGTCCACTTGTGTCGTTGTGTAGGATTCCACAAATTAAAGAATCAAATTTAATAACAACAATAATGATGATAGAGGTGTTTGAAAAAGTCAGTTTCAGTTGTGACTTACCAATCAGCAGCTCTGTGTTCAAGCAATTTATACAACTTTGTCTTCATTGATGCACCAATATGACCTCTTCCAATGTGAAACTGAATACAATGTGTAAACTCACTATCAGTAGGTGAAATAACATTAAGAACATTCATAATAGATGGGGCCCAATTATCATCAGATATCTTCAGCAATATTATCATGAAAAGGATGGAAATTGGAAAGTAAAACAAGATTTTAATATAATGGAAAACAGCTATAATATTCTATCAATCTTTTCTTCCTGAAACTGAGACACCTCTCATTATCTAGATCACAAATAATGGACCAATCCAAGTAACACATAAATGGAAATTAAAATTAATAGAAAAAAGATAAATTCAAGAAAACTAATTGGATTCAAATGGAAAGAGATCACCAAGTGAAAGGAACATACATCATCCCAAATTGAAGCTAGATCCTCTGGAGTTTGAAGCTTTGCTCTTTCAACGTCAATGAGGGATTCCAATGGCTTGTGCTTCAATGGAGTGAAGCCAGAGGCAAAGCTTGAAAAGCTGTGGGTGGGAATTGAAACCGATTTGTGAAAGTCACCTGGAATGGAATGCTTGATTCCGGACTCTCTTCCCACAGAAATGGTGAAAAATGATGAACGACATTCAGCTGAAGATAGTGCGCGTCTTGAGAGTCTGGTTGCTACACGTAGCATTGTGATTCTCTGAATGTAAAAGAAAAAATTATACATCTTTCAGAGCTATACAGATAAGATATCAAGAAACAAAGTAATAACTACAGATCAATCGCTATTTGACTGTTTCACAATTGAAAAGTTTCATGTTTGACATTCACAATCAAAACGCAGCTCTTACTGTTGCTACACAGAGAGAGAAAAAGACATTTCGAAGTTGGATTTGAGTATACTTTAACCTAAAAGCAACACGTGTCTTACACGGTCCTGATCAAACTTCTTACAGGCATTTCGTCGAACAGTTGGAATGCATGATCATGTATGCAACATCGGTAATTGATAAGAAAAGAATCGAAACATCTCAAAGTCACGCAATTAAAAAGACTAATTACAACTGTAAAGATCTTTATTCAACAAAATACTTTTGATAGATCCACCTAAGCAACTTGCGAGAAAATGTAAATTTTGCTATAGCTTTGTACATAATAATCAAATCAGTAACCTGTACTTGTTGTTATACAAGAGAGCCAATCGCAGGAGCTGATAAACGGAGAAACAAGGAAACGGTGGCCGGAATGAGATGCCGGAACTTCTTCGCTTGGTGAGAGAGGCACAAGGCGTACGACGTCGTTTGAGCAACTTCTTTGTTCTCCAATTGATTCATTCAATCCGGACCTACAAAGGCTACAACTTGAATTTTTGTTGTCTGGATCTTGAGCCCAATAACTTAAATTTAATCCCAAAGTCAAAGACCCAATATTTATTCGTAAAACTAGAACCCTAATCCATTCTCATCCCTATCTAATATCATCAAATCAAAGACACCATAAATCAATACTAAATCAATGAATAAGACAATGAGATATTACTATAATAGATTTGATAGTCAATTTGTGGTTTTTAGTATTTGTTCGTTTATGCAATTGCCGACTTCCATATGACCATATAGGTCCCATATAAATATATCATAAAGTCATATGGGGCACTTGGACAACAATTTTGATATTTTTGTGTTTTGGTCTCTATTTGCATTCTAGTGGTTATATGGGGTGCTAAGATTTGTATAAGAGGTATTAGAAGTTTGTATGTGTGACTTGATTTGGTTAATTGAGTCCTTTTGGATGTTGTAGGTGTCATCAAGATTTCGGGAGTTGGGGGGATACATTAGGTGATTAGGGTGTTGACTTCTTTGAATACATAGTTTTCTCACCACATATCATATAAAATAATGTATTTTAGTTGCTGATATTAACGAAAAAACACAGTTTATAATAATATCTTTAAATTATGATGCATATTTAAAGTTTTTTATATGTTTGGCGTGTTGCAGCTAACTTATTTTTCGAGCTTTTTTAAGTTGTCATGTTTAGCAAACCAAAAAGTAGCTTATAAGCTAGCTTTTTTAAAAAAAACTACTTAGACTAGCTTTTTAGGAGTTTTTTTAAAAAAAAAATCAAATATACACCTGAATTAATTCTAGAAACATATTTCTTTTAAATGTTCTTTTATGTCATTTTATATCTTTCAGATAACTTTTCAGTTAGTTTTACCAAACGTTATTTTTATCAGCTGGCTTTTCAGCTTAGCGTTTTATTTAACAACTAGCTTTTAAGCTAACAGTTAGCTTTTTATTTAACAACTAGCTTTTTATCTAACAACTATCTTTTCAACTAGTACGTCAAACATAGCTCATATCATATATGGGATGCATACATATTCATGGGGGATTGGTGTGTTGACTTTAGTGCGACTTGAACATTTGATATGAGATATTAGTGACTCGATGATCACTTTGGTATTCCATCGTGCTACTTGTTTTTAAATAGGTAAAAAGTTTGCAGTTCGCGAACAATATTTGTGGACAATTTCAGAATAAGATATAGACCGTATGTGGTCCCCAAGAAGAATATTGTTTTTTATATTCTACAAAATGTTACAATAAACTAACATTTAAAGAAATTAACTTTTTAAAACTTAAAAGAGTTTTTTTCTCGATTACTTTTTATCAACATTTATCTATAATCTTTAGAAAAAAACTAAATTGCTAATTCAAGATAATATTCATGCATAAATAGAATCAATCAATTGATTCAAACAGTTTTCAAAAAGAAAAAAAAAATACAAAAATGCTATGCATGGGAAAAATTCATGAAACCATCTATAAGAAATTATATATATATATATATATATATATATTATATATATATATATATATATATATATTGCAATTAGCTCTTTTAATGGCAAACGGGAATCGAGTTGGCTGAACAAGAATATTTGTTATTGTTTGCTAATTGATATTGCCATTTATATTCACATATTTTATGTGACATTTTAGTATTTTTAGTTGTATTTTGGTCTTAAATTAACATATATGATACTTATTATTTCTAAATTTCATTATGTAGTCATAAAGACACTCTTGGATTAAAAGGAGTTGAAATGTTGGACTGCTATAATGGATCAATAAAAAAAAGTTATATTGTTGAATATAGAAGACTACGACGCAGAAGCCATGCCTTCGTGACGCGAAAGTGTTGACATAATAAACCAACATATGGATATGTGTGCCAAGCTGACTTAGAGGATACACGAAGTAAACTCGAAACCCCGACGCGAAGCCCACTTTACCACGTCGCGACTTTATGTATTTTGGAAACTCTATAAATATGGTTATCTTCAAACCTGTGGAGTATGCACTAAGTATTATTCAAACGTTGACGACCAAAGAGCCTTTAGTAACGTTTTGAAGACCAAAGATTACTATTGGAGCGAGATTCAGAGGAATCGAGAGTTGATACACATTAAATCATTCGATTTGCTTTTATTCAATATGTTTAGCAAAGTTTTATGATTTATATTCGTGTTTTTACTTGGATTGTGGGCTAATAACCTTATTATTTTGTTTAGAGTAGATGATCATCTAGACTATGTGTTGATTTCGATAATTTTGGATTAAAACTAGTTGTTTATTCATTATGTTTGGTTGATAAAGATCCTCATGTGTTAAAGTCGTTACATTTACTATTTATTGTCGAGTATTACATAGTTTTAATCAGGGTTCTAAATAACGTGGCATGGCATGCCAAGGTGCGCCATGACATCGAGGCGTCGTGTAGACGCCCCGAAAACGAATTAGGCGGTTGTGTAAAGATTAGCGTGCAAATAACGTTGTAAGGCGCGAAAAGGTGCACTTTTTTATGTAACGCGTTTTTTTGGCCACCTATGGAGCCGAGGTTCTGACATGCTTTGTGAGTAGCCCGGAGTCATCATGGGTGAACCTTCGTGGCCACAAAGGGGGTTTTTATTCCTCCTTGGATTTAATCTAAGGATATAAGATACTTTTGTAATGTTCACCGACTTTTAGAAAGATGTCATTTTTGTAAACTTTTAGTATGATTGTAAATCGGTGACTATATGTTAGATTAAATGTATATTAACATGTGAAAACATTAGGTTTTTGTTAATAAATGGCTTGTTTATATAATTGGATGATAGTATATATATATATATATATATATATATATATATATATATATATTATATATATATATTATATATATATAGAGAGAGAGAGAGAGAGAGAGAGAGGTAGGTTCAAATGTTTCTCATATCTATTATGTGCTAGAATGCACTAATAAGAATTTAGTAAAAATTATATGTATATTAAATGATATCCATACTTAGAATTCATTTTTATGGAAACTAATTAAATTCATCATTAATGTCAACAATAATATTCTTTCAGAATGAATTCGTATCTACAAGAATAAGAATGTATTCTAGCAGAATGAGAGTGTATTCTAGTAGAATACACTCTCGTTCTTCATATTTTATACAACTTTATTGTATTTTAAGTGACTGAGTCCTGAAACAAACAACGAACCTATACATAAAAACCTAGGCATGAATTCATTCTCAAAGAATGTTATTGCTGACATTAATGACGAATTTAATTAATTTCCATAAAAGAGAATTATAATTATGGATATCATTTAATATACGTACCATTATGGAAATTATTTAATATCTATATTTATTTAATTAAATAATTATTTAATTTTACTAAATTCCTATTGGTGCATTCTAGTAGACAATAAATGTAAAAAACACATTAACCTAGCCCTATACATACATATATATATATATATATTATATATATATATATATATATATATATATATATATATATATATATATATATATATATATATAAATTTTGCCGGCTTGTCATGCCTTGAAAAACGCCAAGGCATCGTCATGTCTCGCAAGGCTTGAGGCTTGGCTATGCGGCCAAGTCACTCCTTACGTTATTTACAACCATGGTTTTGATAAACATTTTGTTTATGTTTAATTTAATCATATTGATTTTATAAACATAAGATTGTATGGCTAGAGTTTGATCAAAATCTAGAGTTTAAATAATAAAGTTGGCAGCTCTAACGTGTGAGAATGCATGTGATGACCATTCATATGTAAACAACTGGTTTTCATTATCATTAATGTCAATAACAGTTCAATAGTTTTCATAATACGAAATGAAGACTGATTTTTAGGATAATTATTTCACTTAATCACTACCATTAAGAATATTTAGAAATCCAAGGATTAGTAATCGGACCACGAAAACTAATTAAATTAGAAATAGGTAAACAATGAAGTTTAATATATTGCACTTTTAGAAAAATCAACCATAATCAAAAGGTAAATCGAATCTAAAAGGAAGTAGTTTTTAAATCTAGATTTCAATCATTATCTGTCCTTGTCTTCTTAGTTATGTAACGCCCCGTTCCTGGTACGTATTAATTCATTAAATGTCTTTTTATAAAGAGCTACTCAATGAGTAGTAGCTCTAACTCGTCGAGTAGATGCCAGGATTGGACGCGGGTTTAAGTGACCTACTCGGTGAGTCCGCGTCTTGACTCGACGAGTAGGCCAGTCTGGATGAAACCCTAATCCTTAGGGTTTGTACCCTATTTAAACGTCCTTATAGCCCCCATCCCAGCCTCCAGCACCTCTAGAGCGTTCCCCCTCAAAACCCTAGCCCTCCATTGGTGAGTTTGAGTGTTTCCTTCTTGATTTTGAGTGATTTGGTGTATTCTTGAAAGTGTAGAAGAGAAGGAAAGAGAGAAGGTGCAAAGGAGAAGAAGGAGATCCAGAAGCTAGTTTTCATTTGCTACTTCATCTGGTAATAAAGCCTCTACCTTGTTCATTTTCCTAGTAGATCTTCATATATGCTTGTTTTGCCACTTTTGGGACATTTCAAGGTCCAAACTCGAGTTTGGAGCTCCCTTAGGGTAGGGAACTATAGATCTGGACATCATTGAGCTCCGGGAGCTCAAAGTAGCTACCTTTATGCAAAGCAAGGCCTTGTTCCAAACCCTAGGTTCCCATTTCTAGCTTATTTTGGTGTTTTAGCTTCATACCTCTATGCATGTATGTAAAGTTGGCAACTTTACGTGTTATATCGGCCCTAGAAGCTCAGATCTATGAATTGGATGCATTGGAATCGATTAGAATCAACTGTATAGTGAAGACATGCATAGGACTCGACGAGTCGTTCATTGGACTCGGCGAGTCGGAGCGCAAACTCCCGATTTCTCCGATTTGAGAGTTGTGAGTTGAATCAGTGAGTGGAAGAGGACTCAGTGAGTTAGGACAAGGATCTGGAAGTAGAGGGACTCAACGATTCTACGCCCCGACTCGGCGAGTCGAGTCGCGAGTTGGAGAATTGTGAGTTAGGGAACTCGGCGAGTCCATAGTAGGACTCGGCGAGTAGAGTCAACCTGGAAGTTGACTCTGACCAGGACTTTGACTTTGACCAGGGGGTAAATTGGTCATTTACTCCATGAGGAATCATCAGTTGATTCCGAATGTTATGTGATTGTAGCCGGGGAGTCGCCGAAGCAGCAAACAGGGATTTCTCACTCGGGATATCAGCAACCAGTTATACGAGGTGAGTTCTCCTTCAGTAGGAACGGGTCTACGGCACCAAGGCCGGCCCGTAGTATGATATGATAGTAGATGAGTGTGGTCGGGGCCCGTATCCTATCTTAGCAGAGTGTGGACGAGGCCTGTATCATATGGTAGTAGTTGATTATGATGTATGAACAGTAGGTTAGCTTCACATGTTGTCTGTGTGATACTTGTATGTTGGGTTTAGTAGTTGAGTGTGGGGCGAGGCCCGTATCTCATCATAGCTGAGTGTGGGTGAGGCCCGTATCTCGAAGTAGCTGAGCATGGGCGAGGCCCGTACCTCAGAGATAGTGGAGCGTGGGCGAGGCCCGTATCTCATAGACAGTGGAGTGTGGGCGAGGCCCGTATCTCCTAGATAGCGGAGTGTGGGCGGGGCCCGTATCTCCCTTTTTGCGGAGTGTGGGCGAGGCCCGTATCTCCACGAGTGTGGGCGAGGCCCGTATCTCCTAGTTGCATGCTATGTGTAGATGGTATGTGGTAGATTGGGGAGACTCACTAAACTTCGTACTTACTGTTTTCAGTTTTGGTTTCAGGTACTTCCATTAGCACTGGGAAGGGCTCGGGATGATCGCATGGCACACACCACAGTCTTCAGCCTGGGAGTTAGACTCTGATATTTGGATATGATATTTTGACACGAGATTTGATATGTGACATTGTTATGATATTTTGAGACATACTACTCGTGGTTTTTATTATGATATTGGATATTAGGGTTTTCACAATGAATTAAAAACGAAATTTT